TGTGTTTACAGCTCCAAAACACAAGTCCAGTTGCTTCATCTTTTTACTTTTCATTTTCCACGTAGATAGTTTGATAATAACATGTCCAGCCTGGGTCACGGAGCGTATCGATCCTAAACTTAGCTACTCGGTCGATACTTTTTTCCAGCTCGTAGTTTCATTCAAAAAAAAAAAAAAGGCTTCACTGGAGCATCCCGGTCAGAAGCAGCTTCAGATATAAACACTGAACTGAAGAAGCAGGTCAGATAATTATTTAATCGACTGATTAAACAACAACTTCTGATTCGATGTGCAAAATGTAGCATCCATGCTAACTCTGTAAACAAACAAGCCGGCTGATGAGACGTCACGCCTTTTACTGCGCATGCGTGTCACATCAGTGCTGTGGAGCGTTCACACAGGGGTCTGATGCAGGTCACATTTAAAATGTAATGTAAACGTTCACACAAAAAGATCGGATTTTTTCAAAAAATCGGAACTGAGCATTAAGACCTGCAGTGTGAACGTAGCCAGAGACTCATCGCCCGACGTTATTCATCCACAAACTGGTCCCGTATTAAGCTCCAAAGTTTTCATCAGTCAGATTCCACCATGTAGGCTACAACGTCTCTTTTATCCCTTTTTATGAGTTTTTAGTGGTTTGACTATCTTTATAAACTGCTGCTTCCTGGTACATTCACTCTGGAACTGGAAGCGAGTCGCCCTTTTTTTGTGAAGCGAGTGTTTGAAGCAAAATGCAGCGTCTGAGCGCTTTCAGCACAAACAAACACTCCCATGAACTTCTGACCAATCACACAATAAAGTTCGTAAGGGCTCGACACACGGGAGGCGACGTCGCTCGCTCTCCATTCATTTCCTATGGAGCCTGTGCGGTGAGGCAACAATCGCTTGCCCTCCTCCAGCAAAGCGACCGGCAAAAATAGTGCATGTGAAATTTCGCGCTCGTACACGTAGACGTGCACATGCGAGCTTGCAACACGACATATGAAAGTTGAAAAATGTTCAACTTTTGTCGCTGTCGCTTAGCGTACAACCAGTCAGCAAGGGTTTCATTGACTGACCAATGAGAGGAGAGTATGCTACACACTGCAGTTAGCTAACACTTTCACCAAGTGATTACTAAAAAGCTTTGTGGGAATTTATTGGCACCAGGGTGAAGTTTATGGTAAGTTTTTCCTCATAAATCTGTATCTTGATGTGTGTTTGTTTTTCAATATCATTAGCATCGTAAGATTTGTTTAGTTTACACGTCCGTAATGCACACCCGCCTTCAGAGTCAAGAAC